ATTGGAGATGGTACTGAAAATCTCATTGTTGAGAACGTCGAATGTGGACCAGGACATGGTATTTCCATCGGAAGTCTTGGAAGGTACCCTAACGAGCAACCCGTGAAAGGAGTCACAGTGAGGAAATGCCTCATCAAGAACACTGACAATGGAGTTCGCATCAAGACATGGCCTGGATCTCCCCCCGGTGTTGCCTCCAACATTCTTTTCGAAGATATCACAATGGACAACGTTAGCACTCCCGTTCTCATCGACCAAGAGTATTGTCCTTATGGCCACTGCAAAGCTGGGGTATGTGACCAAATCAAATCTATACAAAAACTTTCTACTCAAATTTTGATAAGTTATATTTGTTACAATAATGTTATTCAGTGAGCAAAAATTTCAATCTCATCACTGTGTTTAATATTTTTGAAGGTACCATCTCAAGTGAAGTTGTCGGACGTGACTATCAAGAACATTAAGGGCACATCAGCGACAAAGGTGGCTGTGAAACTAATGTGCAGCAAAGGCGTGCCTTGCACCAATATTGCCCTCTCTGACATCAACTTGGTCCACAACGGTAAAGAAGGACCAGCTGTCTCGGCATGTTCTAACATCAAGCCTGTTCTCACCGGAAAGTTGGTTCCGGCGGCTTGCACCGAAGTAGCTAAACCGGGTCCTTAAATTAAGGTCGCTTGTCCACCAGTCATCCCTCTAATCTAGTGAATTAGGGTGCGATGAAGAAGTTTTGCAATATTTTTCTTTTTCTTTTTAATGAATAAGTCATCTATATATAGATTTTAATAGATAATAGTCCCTTCATTCTTGATGTTTACCAAATGAAGAGTGACTTGTGATTGGATAGTTATTTTTAATGGAATTTTACTAAAATGATATATGTGGAATTCTTAAACCTTTTTTTAAATGCCACATTCTCTAAAATTTCTCAAAATACCATGAAACAATGGACAACGGTTTCATTTGTGTGGACAACTGGACAAGTACTTAATTAGCGGACGAAATCAATAGTTTTTCCACCATTCTAATGGTTACGAGTCAATGAAATTGATCTAAGCTTGATTTTCAAATTGTTGTTTCTATGACCGAGGGATGCTGGTGGTGGAATTACATTTTTTGAAATCTCTGGAGCTATAATTGAAACAATATATAGAACCTGTCAAAGATGTTTGAATCCAAGTATGGTTATGAACCACACACAGACAAGAAAATTGAAAGTATACATATCTTTCCTCAATTCAAAATCAAACCTAATATTCCTCGCAGTTCATACAGTAAAGTCCTTCATAATCAGCTCTGTATATATCGCCGTTTGCAAAAACTCAGGCGTAGAACTCTTTAACGATTGCTTCATGCTTAGGATCAGTGGTTCTGATGAACTTGTCATAAGCTTTATCGAGATCTTTCCAAAGACTTCTATAAGATTGAGAAATGAGATCACAATGCTCAGCAGGATTGCGCCCATTTGCATGCAGCTGCTGATGTAGCTATTTTCTCACCATGTTCATCTGTTCCTGTTGATAAAGATAACCTTCTTGCCAAGCAGCCTCTACACAGATAGCAACACCCGCCAAGTTAATCCGTGGATTTCTAGAGAAAAAAAAAAATGAAACTTTAAAGTCAGAAGAGTGATTGAGAAACACACCTGGAAGCGAGCAATTGAATCGGCGGCGATAGTGGTGTAAGCACTACCCATGTGAAGAGGGGCATTAACGTAATAAAGAGGAGTGATGAGGACAAATGTCTCGGCTCCATCGACGCCATTTTCCTGACTTCCGAAGCTGGAAGTGCAGTAAATAACTCTCTTACCGGAGGAAGATTGAAACTTGTATTACACGACATCTTGAATTCAGACCAATTATAGCTTGATCTATTGTTTGCAAGATGTTTGAAACAATAGAATGTTTGAATTCACGACATCTTGTATTACTGGACCTATAATCCATACAAGATGTTTGAATCATGTTATTGCAAAGTCACCACCTGTGATTTGTACATGATCAGATCCTACAACTACCCAACTTACAGTAAATCAACAGCCGCACACACTCTTTGTTCACTCTCCAATGTAAGTGTAAACCACAAGAACTCAGTTATTGTTCTTACAAACATACAACAGTTTTCTAAGTCTTTAAAAGTGTTAACCCTAATACCAAGTGATTCTTCTCTCTTATATCCTTTCTCTTTGTTCTTAAACTTCCTTTTATCCAGCAGTCCAACAAAAACTCCTTTTCATTGTTTGGCTTCTGAGGTCGGCTTCTTTTTCCGACACACGCCACTCCTTGGCTGTGCATGCTTGTCTATCTGCCAAACCTGCTTCCTCGCACAAGGACCAACACGTCGTGTAGCTCATGCGCTCCACTTGGTTGTTTCCACCTTTCTTGAATTACTTCAGGTTCCTTGTGTTGCACTTCATATC